CAACAACAACAGCAGCAGCAACAGCAGCAGCAATAGCAGCAAATGCAGCAGCAGCAGGAACTGGGTGTGTGTGTGTGTGTGTGTGTGTGTGTGTCTGTGTGTGTGTGTGTGTCTGTGTGTGTGTGTGTGTATGTTGCATGCATGCATGCATGCAGAGGGAGAAGAGAAAGAAGAAATGTTAAAATATACAATTGAGTGTCAACATCCAGAGGCATTAAGATGTATCATTAATTATATCTACGGGTAATTCTTATATAAAAAAAAATTAGGGTTTAGGGTTTAGGGTTTAGGGTTTAGGGTTTAGGGTTTAGGATTTTTTTTTTTTTTGTTTTTTTTTTTAGGGATAGAACATGTTTATCTGGTGGTGATTCTTTTTTATTAGTAAATATTTATATATTATCTCTTAATTATAAATTGGATAAAATAGCAAAAGAAGCAATAAAACCTCTTTCTTCTCCTTTATCTATAGAAGGAATTATTTATTTAGCTTCTTCTTGTGAGGCTGCTAACTGTCTTACTCTCCTACAAGAATGTGTACGAATACTCGCTGATCTAGCATTTGCTCTCTTCTCTGGTAAGGGTTTAGGGTCTAGGGTTTAGGGTTTAGGGTTTAGGGTTTAGGGTTTAGGGTTTGGGGGTGGTCAAGGGTTTAGGGTTGTTGTTGCGCATACAACTTCTTGTGTCCATTCACTCCATTATCTTCTCCTCCTTCCTATTTATTTATATTTATTTATTTATTTATTTATTTATTTATTTATTTATTTATTTATGAATAATTACTGCAGGGATGAGACATTTACAGTTAGGTCCTAAGACGATGGCTCTCCTTCTACAACACGTAAGAACAGCAAACCCTTATTACTCAATACTTAGCTAGCTAGCTAGCTGGTTAGCTAGCTAGCTAGTTAGCTAGCTAGCTAGCTAGCTAGATAGCTAACTAGCTGTCTACCTACATACAGCATATCTTATAAACAAATGGAGTTGTAGAGAGCTTTCTCTGTCTGTATTTCTGGGGTTTACTATTTAGGGTTTAGGGTTTAGGGTTTATTTGTCTACAGGATAATATACAATTAGATGAGATACAAATATGATTTACGATATATTATTATATATTATATATATTATTTAGGGTTTAGGGTTTAGGGTTTAGGGTTTAGGGTTTAGGGTTTAGGGTTTGTATACAGGATAATATACAATTAGATGAGATACAAATATACTTAGCTGCTGCTGCTTGGTTACATCAATACATTGATAACTTTGCTGCTGTTGCTGATCCTGCTGTTATTACTGCAGATGTACAGGTAAATATTTGCTGCTGTTGCTGCTCTTGCTGCTGCTGCTGCTCTTGCTGCTGTTGCTGTACCCTTTCCCCTAATCCTTTACAAATGCTATCTGGTGCCCTTCTTCCTCCTGCGTCCCTCCCTCCCTCTCTTCTTACCCGTCGTACCGTGAATCCATCTATTTGTCCTGGTGCTGTTGTTGCACATATTCCTCATCCTGTTCCTCTTGCTGCTGCAGCTATTGCTGCTATTGCTGCTATTGCTGCTATTGCTGCTGCTGCTGCTGCTGCTGCTGCTGCTGCTGCTGGTGCTGCAGTGTATATATAAATCTATTCGTTTTTGTAGTATGTCCCCAAGAAGACTAGAAGAAATAAGAGAAGAAGAATTAGAAGGAACAATTCTTAATGCATGTTTAAGAAAATTTAATCATCAAGAATGGAATACAAGAGTATTTCCATGGATTGTAAGGAATTTATATATATTTTCTTATATTTCTTCTTTTTTTTTCTTTATTTATTTATTTATTTTTATCTATTTATTCTATTTATCTAATTTCTTCTTCTTTTCTTATTTACTTTCTTATTCCCCATCTTTTAAGGGGTTATTTATATATGTTATTTTCTTTCTTTTATGTTTTATATTTTTTTATTATCTATATATATATATTATATTATATTTATTTATATTTATTTATTTATTTATTTATATTTATTTATTTATTTATTTTTATTTATTTATTTATTTATATTTATTTGTGTTTATTTAGGAGAATAGCGAGTATGAAGTATCATGGGGAGGATCTTTATATCCAACATCTGTATGCCGCAGCAGCAGCAAGAGCAGCAGCAAAAACAGCAGCAGCAGCAGCAGCAGAGGAGGGAGGCAGCAATGGGCATGGATAATAGGGACAAAAAGATTAATTAATGAGGCCCTTTATGCTATAGAAGTTATACACACAAATAAAGGAAATATAAGGTGTGGTGTTGCTATAGAAGACCATATAAATAGATGCAGTAAGCAGCAGCAGCAGCAGCAGCAGCAGCAACAGCAGCAGCAACAGCAGCAGCAGCAGCAACAGGAGTAGTAGTAGTATATATATAATTATTTATTTATATTTATATTGTGAGCTGCCTATACACCGCAGAATTGGCTTGTTACTTCGATAGAGAAGCAAAGGCATTCGTTACTTGTAGTATAGGAAATGATCCCTTGTAAGTCTAGGGTTTAGGGTTTAGGGTTTAGGGTTTAGGGTTTAGGGTTTAGCAAGACTTCCCTGCATGCATGCATACATGCATGCAACCCTTCCTTCCTTCCCTCCATGCATGCATGAATATATTTAATTATTTAATTAATGAATTTAATTAATTAAATTAATTAATTAATTAATTAATTAATTAATTTATTTATTTATTTGTATATAGATCCTCTGCTTACCATACCTATCATTCCCCTTTATTTATTTATTGGCCAAGAATAATAAGAAGAGGAGATATATTATTAATAAGATTATCTTTTTTTTCTTCTTCTCTTTTTATTACTATTAATATATTTAATACTAATATTAAGGCTACCTTTTCTTTACCATATAATGGACCCGTGGTTAGTTAGTATTTATATTTATTTATTTATTTATTTATTTATTAATAAATAATAAATAATAAATAAATAAATTAATAAATGTATTTATTTATTTTTTACGTTTTTTTGTCAATATCCTTGCTGTTTATTATTTCTTTAATAATAACTACTAAATAATATATTAAATAATAGCTAATAAATAACAGATAATAAATAATTAATAAATAATAAAATACATAAATAAATAAATAAATAAAATAAATAAATAAATAAATAAATACATTTATTTATTTTTTTTTTTTAGGTCTATCCTTACCATGTATTATATGCTTGTTATTAAATAATACCTAGTAAATAATACATTAAATAAAAGCTAATAAAAAATAGAGAATAAATAAATAAATAAATAAATAAATAAATAAATAAATAAATAAATATATTTATTCTTTTTTTTTCCCCTTAGGTCTATCCTTGCCATTTATTATTTCGCCCTTTTATTGAAATTTTTCCTTTTTTTCAACTTATAGATGATGGCGATACTCTTGCATTACCAGAGATACAAACAGAGGCATATAATCTTATTTAATTAATTAATTAAATAAATAAATAAATAAATTAATTAATTAATTAATTAATTAATTAATTATTTTTGTCTTCTTCTCCTCTTTCTTCTGATTATTTTCATGTATTTCTTACTATTTACATGATGGCCAGGAATACAACAAGAATTATATTTATTTATTTATTTATTTATTTATTTATTTATTTATTTATTTATTTATTTTATTTATTTATTTATTTATTTTATTTTATTTGTATAATTTATTACATTTCTTCTTTATTTCTTCTTTTTTTCCTGATTATTCCCCTGAGTCAGGGGCATAAGATAGAGAGAAGAATCAGCAGCAGCTTATCGTGCTGCTGCTGTTGCTGCTGCTGCTGCAGCAGCAACAGCAACAGCAGCAGTAATCGTACCAACAACAATCGCAGCTGCAACAGCAACAACAACAGCAGCAACAATCGCAGCAACAACAATCGCAACAGCAGCAACAACAGCAGCAAAAACAGCAGCAGCAAAAACAGCAGCAGCAACAACAACAGCAGCAGCAAAACCAGCAGCAAAAACAGCAGCAACAACAGCAGAGACAAAATAAAAATATTAAGAAAGGTCTAAAGTTCAGAGAAAGAGACAATATCCAATGGATGTGTTCCCTTAGCAGCAGCCTCTTTTGCTGCACTACTACTGCTGCTGCTGCTGTTGCTGCTGTTGCTGCTGCTGCTGCTGCTGCTGTTTGCTGCTTTATGACCATTAATAAACTCAGCAACAGCACGACGGATTTCTTTTCTCGCGTTTTGCAAAGAAAGATTGTCAGCAAAAGAAGGATCATAAAAATCTGTACAATGAGAACCTTCCTGTAGACAAAAAGACCAGGGTTTAGGGTTTAGGGTTTAGGGTTTAGGGTTTAGTTAGGGTTTGATGGGAGAATTAGGGTTTAGAAGCAAGGTTCATAAAATGCGGTGTAATAAAAGCCTTGCTAAAGATAAGCCATTAAACATTTAGGGTTAAGGGTTTAGGGTTTAATTAGGGTTTAGGGTTTAATTAGGGTTTAGGGTTTAGGGTGTATATATACATATATACGTACATGAATAAGAAAAGCAGAAATATGTTGTTGTTGTTGTATATATTGTGTTATATTAATTAAGGAAAGAAGACGCCATGGATCTTTTTCTCCATTAGTAAAATGTATATTTGTTGCTGCATTTAGTGTTACTAATTCCCTTCCTCCTCCCCATGAATTCGTCTCCCTTAAACCCTCGTCAGCAAATACACCTTCTTATTTACACACAACCCACACAACAAGAATTAGGGTTTAGGGTTTAGGGTTTAATTCATAAACTCCTGAGGGTTGTTTTGGGCACGATCTAGGGTTTAGGGTTTAGGGTTTAGGGTTTAGAGCTCACGAGGAAGAGGGAATAATTTATTGCATACATCGATATGAAATTGGACGTTGATGGATGGAGGGCGTAAACTCCCAGGAGAAGCAACCTAAACACCAAATTAGGGTTTAGGGTTTAGGGTTTCTTTAAGGATTTAAACCCTAATTATTCCCTCTCTAGGGTTTAGGGTTTAGGGTTTAGGGTTTAGGGTACCTGCCAAAACCCGAATTGTGAACAACTTTGCCACATCCACAATCTCGTGTTCGATAGATCCGAATTATCTGAAAAAACGCCAAACCCTAAACCCTAAACCCTAAACCCTAGATAAACAAACCCTCGCCACGACACCAAGCAGACCTTACATGTACAGAGGAAAGAAGAACGGCAAGACTTGTCCTCCCATCCCTCCAAAACCCTTGACGCTCTTTGCTGTTCCCCAATATGAGTCATCTGCTTCTGAGGGTTTAGGGTTTAGGGCTTAGGGTTTAGGGTTTAGGGTTTATTTTTACCAAGTTGTGTATCTGTTGCTGCTAGTATATTAAGACTTTTACAGTTGGTGTGTTTTCTTTTGCAACTTTCTCTAAAATATTTCGCGAGACCTTCGAGCAACCGATCCTCACGATCCCGATCCCGATCCCGATCCCCGGCACGATCCCGATCCCGATCCCCGGCACGATCCCCCTCTCGATGCCCATCACGATCCCCCTCTCGATGCCCATCACGATCCCGGTCCCCATCTCGATCCCCATCACGATCCCGGTCCCCATCTCGATCCCCATCCCGATCCCGATCCCCGGCACGATCCCGACCCCAGACACGATCCCGATCCCGATCCCGGGTAGTGTTTTCTTCTCCCCACATATTCTCCACCATTATCTCTGCTGATCCTTTTTTTGTCTCCTTTTTGTCTCCTTTTTCTGTTTCTTTTATAATATGATCAAGAAAACCCTCGCTATCTTGTTTATTGCCATTGCTGTTGCTGCTGCTGTTGCTGCTGTTGTTGCTGCTGCTGTTGCTGCTGCTGCTTGCTGCTGCGGCCTCTTTATTTGCCTCCAAATAGCTGCAGAGCTGTTCTATAAGGGGGCGTTCTATGGGGCGGTTGTACTGCGCAACACAAAACCCTAAACCCTAAACCCTAAACCCTCAGCAGCAAGCCCAAGGAAGGCAAAGGCCCTGCTCAGGGTTTATAGTGCCCCTACCCCACAGGCAAACGCGAGCAGCAGGTGTTGAAAAAACCCTAAACCCTAAACCCTAAACCCTAAACCCTACTTGTACAGCTTCCGCCACGGCATCAACAACGGAGTATACAAATGCAACTTTCTCGGTGTTTGTTTGTATAGACACATCTTCGCATCCAAACCTCTCAAGCTCTTTTTGCTGCACACCAAACCCTAAACCCTAAACCCTAAACTCTAAACCCTAAACCCTGGTGGAGAGGGAGAGGAAGAGGTGACACTGCGAGAGGGCTAGTGCGCTGCTTCTCGTTAGCACTGCATGCAAGCAACAGTGCGTGGTGACTTAGGGTTTAGGGTTTAGGATTTAGGGTTTAGGGTTTTACTGCGGTTGTTTCTTGATAAACCCTTTGATTAAGTGCAGCAAGAGCAGCAGCAGCAGCAGCAGCACAAGAAGGAGGTAAACCCTCCTTAACAGCTAAATCATAAGAAGAAAAGTTTTCTTTTGCCTCAACAGGAGAAGAAGAACTAATTGCTCCTGTTATTAAAAAAGGATATTTTAGTCGAGCAAATGCTGCTAAAGCTCCTAAAAAAATAAAAACCCTAAACCCTAAACCCTAAACCCTAAACCCTAAACCCTAGATAACGGTTCCACCATCCGCCCCCAACAGTTGCCAGTGAAACATATCAGCAAATCACGACAGAGGTAGTTAGCAACCAGATAGCTTAGTAGCTAGCTAGCTAGCTGGCAAGCTAGCTACCCTATTGCTGCTGCTGCTGCTGTTCCTGCTGCTGCTGCTGCTGCTGCTGGTGCTGCTGCTGCAGTTACCTGGATAAGAACAGCCAAAGACAATAACGGGTATTTCTTTAGGATTTATATTATTTGCCTTTGCTCTTTCTTGACGTTTTTTTTCTATAAATGACGCTAAATCAGCTAATGCCTACAGATAGTGCACCAATAAACCCTAAACCCTAAACCCTAAACCCTAAACCCCTAAACCACCATCCTTTGCAAGAGAACGACAACAGACAGCCAGCGAGTGCTGCTCGATCCCCTGAAGTATCACCAGCACCACTACCACCACCAACAACAGCAACAACAGCAATAGCAACAGCAACAGCAACAGGAGGAGCAGCAGCAACAGCAGCAGCAGCAGCAGGACCTGTTGGACAGTAAGGAACCTTAGACTATTAGGGTTTGAGTTATCTAAGGGTTTAGATAATCCATAGAATCGATGCTCTAAGGCAAAACTATCAGCAGCAAAATAAGAGGATAAAACAGCAAAATTCCCTATACACACAGGGAAAAAAAGAAAAAAAAACAATAAAAATACAGCAGCAGCAGCAGCAGCAGCAGCAGCAATAGCAGCAAGGGCAGCAGCAACAGCAGCAAGGACAGCAGCAGTGCTGTACCTGCTGTTATATCTGTTGATTTTATTTCTGCTTCTCCCCCAATGTATACAAACATTGGTGGCACATCTCCCTGCACGGCCTGCTGCTGCTGTTGATGCTCCTGCTGCTGCTGCTCCTGCTGCTGCTGCTCCTGCTGCTGCTGCTCCTGCTGCTGACGCTCTGAGTGTAAGAGTTGGAAGTAGCGCTGCTTCCATATGCGGCCTTCTGCCCTCACGAGAGGATCGAAGTGGTCGAGTGGCTGGTCAAACCATTGGGCCTCGAGACGGACCTCGTGCTGCAGCAGCAACAGCAGCAGCAACAGCAGCAGCAGCAACAGCAGCACCAGCAGCACCAGCAGCACCAGCAGCAAGGCAATAAGAATAGCCAGACAACACAGGCTGATAACCAGCAGCTGGGTGTCTGATGCTGCGGCGGCAGCCCAAGCAGCAGAATCTGCACTTGCTGGAGCAGCAGCAACAACAGCAGCAGAAGATAAAGCAGCAGCAGCAGCAGCAGCACCAGCAGCAGCAGCAGAAGTAGCAGCAAGTCCGTCAACTTCTTACCTTCCCTCTTCCCTTGTGATTCTCCTCAACATCAAAGGCTTGCTGCCGCCCAAAGATGAACCATTTTGTTGCTGCTGCTGGTCTCAGCAGCAGCAGCAGCAGCAGCAGCGATGCATGCATGCACCTCTTCGGCTCAGCCTCCATTTAGTTTCTGCTGGGGAGGATTCAAGCCGCAGCAACAGCAGCTGCAACAACAGCAGCAGCAGCGGCAAGTGCTGTTGCTGTCGGCGCCGCAGCAGTGTGTCAGGGTGTCTGGTTACTATGTCCTAGGGCCAGATGTCTTTTGCTGCTGCTGCTGCAGCAGCACAGCAGCAGCAGCGCAGCACACTATGAGCAATTACTCCCTCTGAGCCTCCCTGACCGGCTGCTGCTGCTGCAACGGTTGTTGCTGCTGCAGCTCCTGCTGCTGCTGCTCTTTGCACCTATAAAAGAAATAAATGTGACAGCCAAAAGTTGACAATTAAATATAAAAAGATATTATTAATTCAATGCTTAATTGTTGCTGCTGTTGGGCCCCCCTTTAGGGGGCCCCACGCCGACGGACAATCGGCTGGTCTTGCTGCTATTGCTGCTGCCGCTGCTGGTGTTGTGTGGCTGCTGCAGTTGTGTTGATTTGCTGCTGCGTTGTTGCTCCTGCTGCTGCTGCCATTGAAGGCGTACCTAGGCATTTTATTTGTCGTGCCTGTAGGGATTTTGTTTCATGTGCATTCACTCTCTGCCCCTTTGTTCGTGCTGCAGCTGCTGCTGCAGCAGCAGCAGCGGCAACGGCGACTGCGCATCGGGACAGCCGGGAGCGGCGGTTGGAGACGCATGATGGCAGCAGCAGCAGCAGCAGCAAAACAACATTTTCGTTGTAAGAATATTTATTAAGTCTCATTGAGGCAAAATAGAAGGCAGCAGCAGTTGTTGCTGCTGTTCCCCTGCAGGCAGCGACCGCGGCTGCACCAGCGAGCAGCAGCAGCAGTAGCAGCAGCAGCAATGAAGCGCTGCGTCTCCACTATTATAGCTTTTTTAGTGCATATACTCCATTCAACAGAAGCAAACTCTCTAGAAGTTTCCTACGAAGGCGGCCCTGCTCCTGCTTCTGCTGCCTTTGCTGCAGATCCCGCAGCAGCAGCAGCAGGAGCGGCAGCACAAGAAGCATACCGCCTGCCAGACCGCGTCGTTGCACGCTTTACCCTTGGAGACAACCAGCACTATGAGTTGCCTATACACCTGGGCCCCAAGGAAGATGGAGAAGGGGCCCAGAAGAAGGGCCACCTTAGGGGATCTGCTACAGGGTTTGCTGCTGGCATCCTCTGTATGGTGCTGCTGACGGTCTTTCGTGACATCGTAGCAGCAGCAAGGCACCAGCAGGAAAGGAAGCATCAGAGGAGGGAAGCAAAGGCTCTAGAGACTCAGAGAATGGTTGCTCTTGCTGCTATGAGGCAGGCAGCAGAGCTGCTTCTGCAGCACGAGAAGCAGATGCACCAGCAGCACGAAAAGCAGCTGCAGCAGCAGCAGAGGCAGCAAATGCTGGCAGCAGCAGCAGGACTTGAGGAAAACTTAATTTTATTACAAGATGACTTCCCCAATACAACAGCAGCAGGGGGAGAACTAGTTATCCAGCTGCTGCATGCAGCAGGTGCGCTGAGTAGCGAGCAGGTGCAGCAGCGACAGCAGCGACTGAAGCAGCAGCGAATGGAGCAGCAGCAGCAGGAGAAAGAGCAGCAGGAGAAAAAGGACAAGAGGCCACCCTCAGTTAGAGGACTGCATAGTCTTAATACAAAATCCATAGAATCCATCACATCAACAAGCAGGAGCCGCGGCCCTTATTTTAGTACCATGAACAGCAGCAGCAGCAACAGCAGCAGCAGAAGCAACAGCAGCAGCAGCAGCAACAGCAGCAAGACCCCCTTTGCTGCCTTCTTGGAGCAAAGAGACCAGACCACTGGTCAGTGGGACCCATTGAATACTGTTGATACCCAAGACGATTCATGGGGTACCCTCCTAGATAAGCCTGCAGACCCTCTAGAGGACTTGGTAGCAATGGGGGGCCCCATGGGGGCCCCCCAATTCCCCCATCTAGAGGACCTTGCAGGTCTTCTATCAGAGAATAGAAACCTTAACAGCAAAGATGCATTTGCCATTCTTCGAGCAATAGGTCGGTACCCAAAGGACTCCACATCCGAGGGGCCCCAAGAGGGGGCCCCTAAGGGGCCTTAAAGGGCCCATATATATATATATATATATATATATATATA